AGTGACTTTAATGACTTAAAAGAATTTTTTTATATTAATGAGCATTTATTCCCCAACTGCTCTTGATGTTCTTTATCGAATTACAGCTTATTTGTCCATTTCATTAAAGAATGACTATAAAATGTCATTGTTTTAGATTTAATATACTATTTTTATTTTTAAATTCAAATCTTTGAAACATTTGTTCCACTTTAAAACTTGGGAGGCAGTTTGGCATTTTAATATCAGAAAAATATAGTGTCATTCTATTCATACGTGCATATATAAAGTCGACTCGACTTTCATGGTTAAAAAATTTCTACCTCATGCTGTTCTATGGTGAATATAAACTGATAATTTGATATGATTAGGAAGGTAACACTATCACTATAACATGTCATATATTCTTGACTTCCATTTATGCTTCATAAATCTTTGTGGACGTAACTAGATTATTCTAATATGTTTGATAGAGATTCAACTATTACCTCTTCTTATATTATTCTTCGTATTCTCTTTTATGTTAATTTCTTTGCCATGCATGTGGTAGTGTTGATTTCATAACTTATGTACATCTAAGACATCTTATTGTTTTATCGTTTATGTGTAGAATTTTTTAAGTGAACTGTTTAATTTGTCACAATGAAAGTCTGTACAATTATAAATTGTTGAAATACGAAAACTTCTCCACAGATCAGTTATGTGACCCACCTGCCACGATAAACTATTGTTCTCGACAGTTTGTTTCAGTTATTCTCGATGGATGACTAGATATCGATAGATGAGTGGAGAAATCTGTCGATATGAATTGTCATTCTCGACAAATGAACTGTCGTTCTCGATAGTTAAATGCAATATTTCTCGAATATTATAATTTTTTTTTGCTTTCTTACACGTGTACTTCGCATTAACATGTACGAGTTATTATGCTATGGATTTTTATCTATTTGTTGTTGTACCTTGTTCTTGCAGATGAATTTTAAATTTCTCCTCCTCAAAAATGCGCGCTTGGGTGCCCACATTTTGCAAAGGAGCAATTGCAAGTACCTGAAAATGATAATGGACAATTTTGATGATTGACAATAGGCAGATTTCGAAAACTCTTAACTTAGGTTACTATCATCTCATTCTGTAGTATGCAAACTAGAAATATTGAACTCATGTCCGTTAGTGTTACAAATGTTGTTTTCAAGTAGATGGAAAAACTATAAAGCCCGAAGTGTCATGCCCAGACAACGAGGAAGTTCCTTCTGGTTGTGGTATGATGGAGGCGGCCACCATACCTATCGAATGCAACGATGTTGTTTACACAAGGAGGCAGTGATCGGCATGCATTTGATTTTCAGTAGCATCCACCAATACTCCACACACCAAGGAGAGGACAAAGAGAGTAAAGAAATAGTGTGACGAAATTTGTTAATACTATGTTAGAATCGATTTTTAATAGTGTAGTAAATGACCACATTTTGCTTTCTTCTAAGAATCCGGTTATAAACACAATTTGGTTGCATCTACGTATGATTATGCATTTTATCATTTACCATACTCGTTGGATTGTTTAATTAGCACAAGATAAAATTGTTGAATTTCTTAATTGAAATCTGATTATGAGGAACTTAAATACCAAAAAGACATCAAGACCATGCAACAATTAAGATACAAAAGTATCCACGAAAATTGATTACCAATAGTTATATGCAGAAAATTATAAGATAAAATGGTACATATGATTTAAGATTTACATTTTCCATAAAAATTGATTACCAACAATTACATGCGGGAAACTTTAAAATAAAATGATACATATCATTTAATATTCACATTTTCCATAAATTATGGACAAAGTGTAGGAGATAAATGTACACTAAAACCTTAAATCATCACACTAATTGTCACTTAAACAACATTTGGAGCTGTGATTTGGTGGTTGTGTACTAAATAACCATAATTGCTTCCCTCCAAGAATTTGATTATAAATAGCATGACATGACTGTCTTCTCAGTTACATTTAACACTTCTCTATCTTTGTGATACTTTATACATCAAACATTTGAACTTGGTTCACTCAATACAATCATATCGAGATAATGGGTTTGTTTATGAGAAGCAATGAACCGTTGAGCCTGAATGAGCTTTTGTCAATACCCAGTTAGTCCCTATTTTTTCCCATTATAATTTATTCGGACGATGAGGAAGTCAACCATCCAATTGGTAGGAGAGCCATTTTTGCTATTCCTTTTCCCAACCTGGATGAAATTTCAAGTGAAACCTCGCAGTCACCACCTAGTGTAGTCTATGATGTGTTTAAGTTCATGGTTTTGTATGAAGATGAATTCGACAATGATGAGTCGTTGGCGAATGTTCCACCTCATGATATAATTGTTATAAGTTTGGATGATTTTGATGAAGACAGTGGGAGCAACATTCAAATGTTGACAACGATTCAATTGGGCTATAATTGCGTATGTTTGTCTACTAAATTATGTATTATAGTTTTGTCGGGGATGAACATGGTAATATCTTTACCAAATGTTCTGCAATAGCATCTCCCTTTTGCATTTTTGTTTTGCAGCCAACTGTCGGAATAACAGATGCCTTCTATCGGGATTGATAGTTTAACTGTCGGGATGTTATACAATATTTTGATCATGTAAGTATTTTGCTTCTGAATTTAAACACGACTAATGTTTGCAAATGATAATCAAATGATAATGACAATGCTAGTTGAAAATGATAATATAAGTTGAGAATGTGCTTAGGAATAGCATGTCTAAATTTTTTACTTTACAACCAACTGTCGAGAATGATAGAAACCTTCTATCGGGATCGATTGTTTAACTATCTGGATATTATGCAATAGTCTGTCTACGTAAGTATTTTGCTTACGAACTTACACAAGATTCGTGTTTTTAAATGATAATGTAAGTTAAAAATGATTATATAAATTGAGAATGTGCTCAGGAACAACATGTTCCCTTATGCATCTTATTTGTGTAAATTTTTTTACTTTGCAACAATCTGTCAAGAATAACAGAACCTTCTGTTGGGATCGACGCTTTAACTGTTAGATGATATGCAATAATTTGTGTATGTAATTATTTTATTTGTGAGCTTAAACACGATTGAAGATACCAAAATGATAATGAAATCAAAATAATAATATAACTTTAGAATGTACAATGCTATCGGGGGAATATTCAAAATACAACTTCAACGACTTTCAGATATCAAACCTATTTATGTGAGTTGTATTAGAATGGAGGTTGAAGTATGTGGTCCAGTTACGACCAACTCTATCACAACGAGTGCAGAGGGTAATACTTGTCGAAACCGTAATGAAAGTGGTTGGTCCCCTTCCACTTCCATTCGTCATCCACATGAACAAACTTTTCTCACACGATGAATTTCAAATGATTACTATTATTTGAAAGTTGAGATTGTAATGGTAAGAACTTTACATAATCAATATGTCGGCATTTAATAGCTTGAAAGTGGCACTTTCGAATATTTAAATCTATACATTAGCAAATCGTGAAGTGAAGGGTTGAAATGTCTATTCTGATAGTTTTCAAGTGTCGAATTTCAAAATATCGAGTGCTACAGTTGAAATATCTAACTTGACAATTTCTAAACAGTTAAACACTTAAATATATATATTTGGAACATATTTATCATCACAATAAGTGTGGTCATCAATATCGTGCTTGAATGACAATGTTTTTTCCAAATAACTTGCGTTGCAAGTCGTTAAAAAGACAATCCTTCAAAACATTTATTTGGTTTGATTGGAAGAAATTAATGAAAACATTAATTATGATAATCAATTTTCAACTACAATATAATGATATCTTCCCAAATAAAATAACTCAATACTTTATTAAATATGGAATCTTTCACATTTTATAAAGGGCATTGGTATCTTTATTCAAAAATATTTGAAAAAACAAATAAACCAGTGAATAATAATTTTCAAAATTTCAAATAAATATGACTATACTGCATTTAACATTTTAAAAATAGTAAGTTATAAGATAAAAATATGAACTGTTTGTAATATGCCAACATTTCAAAATAGATGATGAATTCAATAGTAATATCTTCTTGATGAAGAAATGAAGAAAATGGTTTAGAAGTTAAGGTTTGTAAATTGTAGAAGAAATTTGTTTATGATCCCTTTTCAAATTTTTCTCTCTCTTTATTTATTTATTTATTTACAAATTCATATTACCCAATGTAATAGACATATATCCGATATTTATAGTATACAAATTAAATCATCACATCGTAACATCAATATTATTTAAATCAAGCGTTAATGAACATTAAATGCTCCTAAAATGATATTACCAAGGGTAGTTTGGACCTTTCACACTAAAAAATTGATATTTTTGAGCACCATTAGTAAAACTGACAAATTTTGGTAGATTTTCAAATTTAGCCCCCCATTTGTTTCCTATTTTTTTTAGTAAGGATGCATTTTGAAATAGTTGATTGATAAAGAATCAAGAATGTATGGTTAAGAAATAAGAAAACGTTTTAATTTTATGTGTAATATTATTTTATTGAAAAACGTGTGATTAAAAAGAATAGAGAAAAAAATATATTTTGAGAAAAATGAGTATCAAGCAGGGCTTAGTGCTATCCATGAAAAACGACCTTTTTATTTTTACAAAATGAGGCTTGGAAATTATAATGAAAATCTGACCTCTCACTTTAACGTGTAATCCCACCACCATAAATTGGGTTGTTTGAATCCCATTTTTCTAGAAAAATACATTTTGAAATAGTGTTGTGATGAAAAATGTGTAGTGAAAAAATACGAAATTTTTTAGAGTTTGCATGTAATATTATTTTATTAAAAAATATGAGATTGAAATGATGTTATACTACTGTTGAAGAATATATTTTGATAAAAAGAGAGGGACTCAAAAAAGGCTTATTCCAATTTTTGGCCAAGTGGCATTATTTTAAGAAACTATTATGAATATTTGATGTACAGTAGAGAAATAAAAATCTGCAGTTCCATCTTCATAGCATTTCCTCTCCTATGTACCGAATTTCTATCTATTCCAAACAAATCTGAGGGTGATAATCAGCACAAAAAACAGAGGTAATTTTCATTCGTCTTCAAGACTTCTATTTTATTTTTGTAGCTATTGAAATATCAAATCGAAGATCTATGTGGAAATGACAGGTTAAAATTATTTCTGGGCTATTGGGAATAGGTTTTTCAAGATCTAAAGTATCGTACTTCATAGCTGATTTCTGCATATACTCCTCGTAAGAATAGGAGTTTTTAGTAATATATCTCTGAAAAATACCAATGAAATCATCCAATAGTTGACCAGATCCATATGGAATTAGAAACCTATTTCTTTAACAATTTTCTTTAAATACTGTCAGGCAAATAGAATTATTTTATGAATGATAATGAATAACACTTGATTGGGTTCATTGACTCAAGAATTGCATTTTTATATTATTGTTTTATCTTCAAGAATTTTTTTAAAATAAAGAGTGATACATATTTGCAATTTCAAGAGCACTATATGTGTGTGCGCTTTATTTTCCTTTTTCCCATAAACCATTATGACTCAACGTTTTCCTTCAATTAAAGTTATTAACTAATATATAGTGATGTAATGTATATAAATTTGTGAAATAATATGAAAACATTAGAAGTTTTATATAGAGAGCAGATTTGGCTCTCTATATGTGGAGAGTCGAGTCTGCTCTTTTTGAATATAAAGTTTTTGTTGGATTCCTAGAAAAGATTATTGACTCTTCTTAAATAAAGAGAATTAGGCTAACAAATTGCATTTTGGAGATGCTCGAACAGAACATCACAGGAAAAAATTGCTTCTAATTTTTTATGAATTATCTATCTTCATATTAAGCCCTTGATTGGTTTAGCTAAAAATCAGATTTTAGTTTTGATAAAATTTCATGAAATGTATGGTTGAAAAGTTGATAAAAGTCTTACATGACATTTATGGTTGAAAAAATGATGGCAAAACAGGGCTAATTCTTGCTGGCATGCTTACTTTTGGATTCCATCAAGACCATCTTAAATTTTGGTGAAAATTTGCATATATACAAAGATAGAAGATGTTGTACTCATTTCATTTCTGTATATAGAGAACTGCTTAAATTGGAGGCAAGATCAAGTAAATGCTATAGTCAGTGTTACAGTGCTGGTTGAAATTGAGAAGTTGCTCACAAAGAGTTCGATATGGTGCAGGGCTTCAAGCAAGAGTTAAGAAATTTAAGAGAATCGTTGTACATGGTTAAGCAAGTCTTAGAGGATGCTGAACCATGCCAAGTTACAGATGGGACAGTCAAACTATGGCTCAAGAAATTCGAATTTGTTGCTTATGATTCTGATGAAGTTTTGGATGAGAGAAACTATGAAGATTTGTCATGTACTCTGGAGATACAGAACCAGATGAAGCAAAACATATGGTTATGCTTCTCTTCTAATATGCTTTTGAGATTCAGATGGAAAATGGCTAATAGAATGAAAAATTTAAATGTGGAATTGAAACTGATAAATTATGAAGCTGATTGCCATGGCTTCCAGATGAGAGTTGCAGATTGTGCTCCTTATTCACCTCCCTTGAGGGAAACTGACAGCATAAGTTGTGATCATATTGTTTCGGGAAGAGATAATGATGCATTAAAAATTGTGAATATGTGGACTAAGCCCAGCAATGAATATGTTACCGTTATTCTTATTGTTGGAATTGGGGGACTCGGAAAGGCAACTTTAGCTTACTTAATATTAAATCATCACCTATAAAGAAGCATTTCGACAAAAGGATTGGGTTTGTGGATCACAAAATTTTGATAAGATAAAGATTTTTCAGGGAGATCTCTCGAATGCTCAGAAGAAAATTTTTAAAGAGAAAGTAGACAAGCTTGGGATGATTTCAAAAACACTATTTGTATAAAGGAGATTCCATTATTGTGAATGAATGAGATGCAAGTGTGCATCAATTGTCAACCTGCATGGTGATCCATGTTGCTAATAGAAATTGCTCGAAGATGAATGTTGGTCCATAATGTGGTCCAATTGTGGCATCAATTGTCAACCCGTATGCTTATCTATATTGCCAGGGGAAATTGCTAGGTGATGAATGCTAGTCCATAATCAGAGCAAGGATAAATGCTGGTCCATAATCAAAGCAAGGACATTTGTAAGTGGAGATGTACCAGAACTATTAGCCGAGGGGTTTGATAATAAATATGGAGGTCTATCACTCATAGCAAACATGGTTTAGGGAGTTTCGTGATAAAAGAGAAAGATGAATGGTTTTCTATCCTACAATCTATTTCAAATTCTGAATGAGATGAAGATAGTGTCTTGCTATAAAAGTAAGCTTCTATCACTTACCATCTTCATCACTTAAAATAATTAAAAATATATATATTTTGCGTGCTGCTCAATATTTTTCAAGGATTTTGAAATAGATATAAAACATCGATTCCAGCACTAGATGACAGAAGGATTATCTTTCAGATAATCAAGGAAGTGGTCTGGAAATTATTGCAATAGATATTTTATTATTTTGTTCCAAAATTCCTTCTTGCTAGAGCCATTAAAGGATATTTATGGCGACATTGAATTCGGTTTCAAAATCAGAAAAAATTTGAAGGAGCATTCCACTGGAGACAACATTCCTCAAGTTAGAAATTTTGCTGGGGGGAAAAAATCAATCAGAATAGGAATATAAAGGATCTCGAGAATGAAAGTGTTGTCTGCATACATTGTTTTTGCTGACAAATATACCTGGCAAAATGTTGCTGGACCTTAACCGGTGCATGGAGTAGTCAAATGACAATAGTATTGTTTCAAGCACTTAATAATTTGTATATCAGTGATGCGGAAATTAGCTTGTATCTCTATGATATATAACGACAATCTCACCTCTTTTACAAAGCTATGAATAGATTGGACAAGAGAGCTCACTTGTCTCCCGACGGGTTGTTTTACAACAACAAAAATCGTCAGGAATTCAACATTTGGAGGTGCCAGTATTGAAGGGAAATACCTGATGGTCTACGCAGCCTCTAGCCTGTTGAGATATTGAGAATACGTGAACGCCCAAGTCTCCATTGAGTTCATAACCAAGTGGACAAAAAGGTTTCACATCCATTAGACATTTGGAAATTGTAATAACCTATGGATTGAGCAGCCTGCCAAGTGAAATGCTCAAGTAGTGTACTTCTCTTGAGACTCTCTATGGGGTTGAGTGCAACAATTTGCATTCATTTTCAATAGATTTGGGGGAATGTCTTCTCTCATATCCTTGTGAATAAACAAATTTCTATGTCCCAAACTGACGAGTCTGCAGAAAAGAAATGGCTTTCTTAGCAGCTTGACAGAATTAAAAGTTGGCACATTTTCAATTTAAGTGGATTTCAATTCATTCCAAGCGATTCCTGACGGCAAAAAACTTCCTGTCTTTTCGTAGTACTATATTTATATGAGTGGTCTCACTGGATCACTCTGCCATACCAGCTTTAGCATGTCAGTGCTGTAACTGTGTTAGACTTGTATGATTGTGGGATTGAAGCTTTGCTTGAGCGGTCTGGGAACTTCATCTCTTTGAAATTGTAACTGTATAGGTAAGAAAAGCTAAGGCATATGCATCTGAGGAAGCCATTCAATGCCTCACCAAATTACAAGAATTAGATATTAGCCACTGTACGTTATTAAAGGATGTCTGCACCCAATAAAGGCCGTGATTCTGAGTGGTGCAAAATTTCTCATATTCGTGATGTTAATGGAGACTGATTTAATTTTAATTTGCCTCCATTTTTGTGTTTTCTCATGTGTAAGTATCTCCATTTTCATTAAATTCTAATTATTATTCATGATTTTCCTTTTCCAATCATTCACCTATATTTATGCAGGTCACATTATAACGAGTTGCATATTATGCTAATATGAAGCCTCCTCACATGTGCCGGTATGTATCAACTGAGAATCCCTCTCAATATTCATTTCTTTTAGTTCTTAGTGCTATAATTTTGAATACAATTCCCTGTATAGCTAGTACTCTCTTTTGCTATTTAAAATATAATGTATAATTTTATTATTATTTTTTATCTAAATTTTTCATATTCAGAATACCTTGTCCTCATGTCTTTAATGAAAATACTTGTTAGCCTTGTACTGTATTGAGCACTGATGTAGAGTGTAAACACTCGGAATGGTAACTTGGAGATTTTCGTATTTTTTTAGTACCATATATTTCTAGAGTTCAAATATCGATTTCTGAAGTTTAAAATAGAGATTCAAAAGTCTGAAATCCATTTTAGAAGTTCAAATGTCTTATTAGTAAATCTAGAACTCAGAGGCAGATTCTCTCTCAACGAGGGATTGCAGCAAGCTGATAACAACAACACTTGATGACAGAAGTTTTGGTATCATCTTTTTATTGAGTTTGGCATTTTAAGATTGAACCCAAAGAATGAAAAACTCTTCAAAATTAGTTTTAAAAAAAAAAAAAATTAAAGTCTTTTTTTTTTTTTTTTTTTCAAAAACTCTTCCACGAGAAACAAAAGCAAAAATTATGTTAGACGGGCTTTAAGTAACTTTCCAAAACTTTGTATTTGTGGCTGCGCTCGTTGATTTAGCTTATGAATGAAATATTTCGTCAATATGTCTAGATTAATTAAAACAATTTTAAATTAAAAAAGCTAGTTTTAATCAAAAGAAAATTAGCTTAAATTTTATTTTTATACACAAGAGGGAATATTAAGATCGAGAATTAAGTTTTAATTCTTATTCATACCAAGGACCATATGAAAATAAGACTAATATCTTGATTATTAAATAATGCCTGATGTATTTCTTTTTTGAATCTCTTGATTCTGAAATCATTATAATTATCCAGGTGTTTAGAAAGGTTGTTCTTTCATGAATGTCATTCTCGTATTCATTTCTTATTTTTAACATTGGCAAAAGTAGATTCTTCATGAGGGGCTAACTCAGTGCTCTAGTTTTTTAGTTATTCCTGCTGATATGAAATCGAATTCGATCAGAGCTTGCTATAGTAGGTGACTTGGATACCACCAAAAGGTCCTCTATTATCATCTTTACATAGAGCTCATTGAATTATTCGATCTCCATCTTTATTTCTCTAGTTGAGTACAAAAAATATTAGAAATTGTACTAAATACAGAGAAGATTAATTCAAAAGAAAGGAAAAATGCATTCTATGGTTAGCTGCTGAAACCAAAGGAATATACTCCGCGAACATTGCTCGTTGCTTGCTAGACATAAATAAAGAGAAGGGGAAACCAAGTGTGAAAGGCGTGAACAAAGTAGATGAACACTCTCCCATCTGGCTAGCTAGAAATCGTTATTGAAGAGCACATGGCTTGTAAGTAAAACATGATACTATGACGAAATTAGTTATGAGCTAGTCCATAATAGGTCGCCACCTCTTAGTTTTCTCAGAATGACCAAATTGCCCCAAAATTCTAAGGGAAATTTATAAACACCTCCCGCTTCAGAAGAGTAAGTCATACAAATTCAAATATCTCCTTCACAAATAGTCATTTCTCCTCCTATTCTAATTTGAGCATCAAAACTAATGAGTTTAGGAGGCGAAAATCCTGGTTAGATTAGAGAAATTATTGATTCGATTTCTATCGTCAATAAATTGGCGTCATCTATGGAAAATTGTGATCCAGATAGTAATAGCTGGAGAATGTTTTCACCACATGCTCCTGGATAATGAAAGCACAAACAATTTGTTTTATAACGGAGCATTCAATCCAAATGTCTCTAAAGTACAATTAAAGAATCTTGTGCAGGAATCATGAAAGTAACCAAAAAGGAGACATGAGAGAATATTGTTGCCATAGTTGAAACAATTAACCTGGAGTGAAAATTGAAAATTGACGACTCAATCGACCTCGCATAACTGATTACATTTTAGAGAGGATGCGATCAAAGAGTTAGAAAGCTTTTCTATTAGCTTAGAAGATGCAACCAAAAGCTATAAATATTGGTAAAGAATTAAACGAACCTATGAAAGATTTGCTAAAAAGTTTCTTAGCCATGAACCAAGATGTGTTGGCTCGAAAACATGCTAACATGATGAAAATAGATTCTAAAGTTGTATGTCATGCCCTAAAAATCGATCTCAAGATCAAACCAAACAATTGCGTTGGCCAATGAGCGCTGAAAAATACGATGCATTAAAAGTGAGTAAATACGCTACTAGAAAATGAATTTATTGTGAAGCTCAATAACCAGTTTATATATGTAATTATATCCTAGTACCAATGAGCAAGGAAAAATGGTGAATGTGTCAAAATTTCACAGACTTGAATAAAGTTTGTCCTAAAGATAGCTAGCTTTCTACTAACCAGAATTGATTAGCTGGTGAATGCAACTGTGAGACACGAGCTATTAAGTTTTATGAATACATATTCGGGATGTAAGAGATCTCTATGTATGACCTAACGAGGAAAACACCACAATAGTGACAGATCGAGGACTATACTGTTATAAAGTAATGTCCTTGGGCTAAAAAATATGGGGGCCACCTACCAAAGTTAGTAAACAAAATGTTCACAAATCAGTTAGGAAAAACGATGGAAGTATATATTGATGATATGCTAGAGAAAAGTCTTCGATTTGAGGGACACTTAAATACTTAGAAGAGGCTTTCAATGTATTATGAAAATATAGGGTGGAGTTCAATTCACTAAAATGCACATTTGGATTTAAATCCGAAAAGTTACTTAGATAAAATCCACAACCTCCTCTTCTTTGATAGTTGGAAGTAGTTTGTTTCTCCTCATAATCTCTCTTAT